AAAATGCTCAGGCCGGGTGCGATGGCTCATGCCTGTAATCCCAGCACTTTGGGAGGCTGAGGTGGGTGTATCACATGGTCAGGAGTTCAAGACTAGCCTGGCCAACATGGTGAAACCCCGTCTCTACTAAGAAATACAAAAATTAGCCGGCCATGGTGGCTTGCGCTTGTAATCCCAGCTATTCAGGAGGCTGAGGTGGGAGAATTGCTTGAACCCGAGAGGCAGAGGTTACAGTGAGCTGAGATCATGCCACTGCACTCCAGCCTGGGCGACAGAGCAAGACTCCATCTCAAGAAAAAAAAAAAATGCTTAGTGTACCAAAGCACCATACTTGGGATCTCGTTCTCTGTGCCCTGACAGTGCTGTATGTAGGCAATTTACCTTTTCTCTCTTGGGATCAGAATGTTTTAAGGACTTAGCCTTTACATGTGGTATGAATAGCAATCATTTTTGTTTTGTAACTTATTTTTTTATCCACTATCTTACGGGCTATGTTGGTAAATATTGGGAAGAGACAACCAGGATACTGTTGGAGATGGCACATGGCAGTGTTTTTAGCCTAGGGTCATCTGTTCTGTTACAGACAGGTCAGTTACTTGTCTCATAGAGGAAATTAAAAAGGTCTCCAATCCACCTGGTTTTTCTCTGTTACTGTCTCAGAGGAATATCACTAAAGAACTTTTGCAGTGAAGGAAGGTGACTCACAATATTGTTTTAGTATATCACCAGCACTGGAATTTATGTCCTGTGCAAAAGAACCTAGAATTCCACATAGCTCTTGGTCCCTGCCCAGGCCTTTTCTGCATCATCCAGCACACTTCATTTTCACTGCAGATGTGTCTGTGGGCTCAAACGCCGGGGTCTGGGGAGGGTTAGGCTCTGGGTTTGCTTGGCAGTAGTTTGCTGAGGAAGTTCTCCCTCACTCAGATTCTCTTCCTTCAGAACAGGGACTTCTGTTCATCACGCAATAAGCAGGGAATTATTCATTTTGCTTGGGGTTTTTACCCATTGTTATGACTTCTACTCTTTTCCTGAGTAGAAATAATTCAATTATGAGTTCAGGAATTTTCTGCCCAAGCCAGTTCATCCCTCAGTGGCAAAGCAGGCTCCCAGAGGCACTCATTTCATCCCACACTTGCCTTGAAGTTAAAAGCTCCAACCCCTGGACTTTGTTTGTTTTTTTGTTTTGCAGAATTTTCTCTTTTTATCATTTCATTGAGCACACTGAGAAAATGAGGAGGGAATTTTTGAGGCAGGTAGTTTCAGTCATTGATGCCATCTGCTCCTGCGGGCAGACCTGATAAGATTTGCCCACATCATCCTCATTGAGTACATGTCCCTTTTTTTCGGTCCTTGCAATGAAACATACTTCTTAAAGGGGGAAAAAAAAATACCTGTTATTTTATCATCACACACTTTGCTAATTAATTAGTTTCTCTTTCCTCCACCCCCCACTGCTGCATATGCACGTGTGTATGCAAATACACAACATGCGTGTCTAATGACTAATAAAGAGGTGAATCAAAAGGACTGGATAACTGCAGACTCCAAACAGTAGCTGCAATATATATGGTGCTTGATAAGCACATCTTTCTTTTTCTGTTAAAATGTAGCTGCCTCTTTCTGACCCAGTAATACCACACAAGGGCTTCTTGTTAACACAAAAGAACTACATTTTCACTGACTTCATATAACCTTCCAGACTTTTACCAAAAAAGATCCATAAGATTTTCTGGCTAAAGAATAGTGTACGTGTGCTGAATTTCTTTGCGTAAAATCTGTTAGAGACCAAAAACCCATACCCCCCAAAATCGTTGAGAAACATAGATGCTTCCGGAGTATGGGCCTCTTGTGTGCTCCGGAACTCCCCGTTGCCTGCGAGGGTGAGATTAGAGACTCTGGGCCACGAGCTTTAGGAAAAGGGACAAGAGGCCTGCTGAGTAGAGCATTAGTTTGTTCCTTTTAGGTTGTATTCTGAAACAAATTTAAAAATGAGAGATTCAAGCAAAATTACTACGGAAGTCTTGGGCAAAGATACTGGGGATTATTTTTTAAATAAGACAGACATCGTTTACAAAAAGTTTCTGAAACAAAAAAGTTCTGTCCTGACTATATCTAGGCTTCTGTATCCTTCTCTTCTTTATCATAGTGACATGTAGAAATTGAATGAGTATTTTCTTTTACTTTGATTTTCCCACTAATTTCTGAAAATTTTAAATTCCTACCCTAGGAATTCAACTCCTGCAGAAAACTCACATACTCCTGGCTGACACTGAACAATTCAGGGTTATTCTTTCTTAGTCCCACTGCTGAGTTCTTCCTGCTAGTACTTTATGAGATAGCCAGAATCCCTGGTCGCGGCTGTGCCTGTCATGTGGCTCAGAACTGCTTTATGCTAAATCATCAGAGGTGTTCACATATGTTGCTATATCACTTGATGCATGTAGCTCCATAATCGTTGGAACAAGAAATGGCATTATTTGTATAGAATTTAATCTTTTTTGAAAGAGTCATTCGCCTTTGCACATGACAGTAATCTCATTATAACTTTGCATCTGCATTAAAAGAAGTCCTGGCCGGGCGCAGTGGCTCACGCCTGTAATCCCAGCACTTTGGGAGGCCGAGGAGGGTGGATCACCTGAGGTTGGGAAGTTGAAACCAGCCTGACCAACATGGAGAAACCCCGTCTCTACTAAAAATACAAAATTAGCCGGGTATGGTGGCGCATGCCTGTAATCCCAGCTACTCGGGAGGCTGAGGCAGGAGAATCACTTGAACCTGGGAGGCGGAGATTGCAGTGAGCTGAGATCGCGCCATCGCACTCCAGCCTGGGCAACAAGAGTGAAACTCTGTCTCAAAAAAAAAAAAAGAAGTCCCTGAGAGTTAACTTGTAAACATTTGGATTCATTCTTGCCTCAGATAGAGCCCATCTCGTAGACAGATGGGGAGTGCCCCAAGTTGCTTGCTGAGTCCCTGAGCAGTCTCCGAAAGCATCATCGTCTAGGTCAGCTCTGCAGGGGCAACAACCCACTTTCCTGTTGGGGAAAGCCACCTTGCAGTACAATTCAAAAAAATCTTATTTTAAAAATAAATACAAGAATGGTGCGGTTCAGATGAGGAGCTCTGGAAATTTCATGTCATCACCTTTATTTCTAAAATATTGCAATGATGCTTCTGTCCTAAGAAGCTTGAAACACCGTCGTCTTTGTTACTACTTTGACTGTTTATGTTAGTGCTTTGCCTTTTGGTTGCCTTGTGTGCCCAAAGCTGCTCTCCAGAGAACGTCATCTCAGTTTCCTGATCACAAGCAGGGTTTTCCCTGAGATGGACCTAGGTGTTGAATGCCCAGAGCGCATTTAGTATGTGCACGAATCCTCTAGCTTCCCCCCCACCCCCGCCCCATAAAAGAATCTGATTCACCAGGATGTTTTTGATTCTTTTATGTAATTTTTCATTTCCTGGTTGTGACAGATTTTTTTCCATTTTCTATTCATCTGTAACTGCTTTGGCTCAGCCCTTTGTCTCCCTACTTTCTGCTCTGCAGCTAACTTCATGAGAAAGTCCTGGGTTCCCTGGGTCTGGAAACCTGTCTTGTCCCAGGAGACGCACTCCAGTTTTCAACAGAGGTGAAAGAGCCTCAGCCACCTCAGAATGTTATGGTAGCAGCATCAAAATCATGACCATGCATGAATAAGGGGTATTGTAATGTGCGTGCTGATAGAGCCTGGGGACCACTGAATTCTAGCCCCACCTCTGAAATATGTGCTCATCAGGGCAGAGCATTTTCTTTAAGTTCCACCCAGCTTCTCTGCAAAGTGGGCCACTTTGGTTCTAGATTTCAGAGATCTCTGTATAAACCAGATTACGATTTTAGGGTCTTAGGGAGAAAAAAAAATGTCATAAATCTTATTAATACTAATAGCTTTTGTTTTACCAGCAAGAAATAAGTAAATTGCTCACATTGGGATAAGATAAACCTTTTAATAGCTATTTCTTATAGTCACTGAGTAGTTTGTAAGTGGGCATTGAATTTCCAGTGTGGAAATTACGCTGAAAAAACTGTCTCCCAGCAGGGGTATTTTCTTTTCTAAGCCCCACAACATCATCAAATGGCGAATAAGAGTCAGCGTTCTCATATGCTTGTGTGTCCTTTGTGTGAACCTTATCTGCCCAGTAGTGCCCAGAAATCAAAGGAATATAAACTAAAGCTTTGTTTTCTATGTGTTTTTTACTTTTGGCATTTATAAACTCTCTGAGTCATCCCTGGGAGTGGAGGACACGGCAGTGGGACCAGCACTTATATGAATATACAGTCATAGGTTTTATTGTCTTGCTTTCTCTTTAAAGAAAAAGGAAGTTCTACAAGTCTCATTATGGAAATACTGGAATTGGAGATACATATTTAATATGCCAACTTTATTATATCATGATTTCTACCTAATTTGATTGTGTTTCAGGAAACTACAATTTCCATTCATGTGACAAACACCTGTTTTTAATAGAATCCATCTTCTTCAGAGAAATAGGTGGTTGTATTCATGAGCTAAAACATGAATATATGGGCTGGGCACTGTGGTTCACGCCTGTAATCCCAGCACTTTGAGAAGCCGAGGCGGGCAGATCACCTGAGGTCGGGAGTTCGAGACCAGCCTGACCAACATGGAGAAATCCCGTCTCTACTAAAAATACAAAATTAGCCGGGTGTGGTGGCACATGCCTGTAATCCCAGCTACTCGGGAGGCTGAGGCAGGAGAATCGCTTGGACCCAGGAAGCAGAGGTTGCAGTGAGCCGAGATCATGCCATTGCACTCCAGCCTGGGCAACAAGAACGAAACTGCATCTCAAAAAAAAAAAAAGAAAGAAAGAAAAAACCATGAATATATTTTTTGTTACATTTGCTCAGTGTCTGTATTTGTTAAACTACTGAAGACAGTAGCCTTGCTGAGTGACAGTTTAAAGAGGGCTGCGTCCTTGTGCTGACCCTCTCTCCTCTGTTTCAGAGGTGGTAGCCCAGTGGTGCACACAGGGGGACTTGCTGGCAGTCGCTGGGATGGAACGGCAGACCCAGCTTGGTGAGCTTCCCAATGGCCCCCTTCTGAAGAGTGCCATGGTCAAGTTCTACAATGTTCGTGGGGAGCACATCTTCACACTGGACACTCTCGTGCAGGTAAGGATGTTCTCTGGAAACAAGTAAATTTTCATCTGTATCTGCTTTCAGGGAGTGGCATCACTATGTTGGTATTCCCCCAATTTCTGTTAAATACTAGTGAATGGGTTATTATAATTATTGTTGACAAATTTTATTTTAATCTTTTTTTACCTTAGTTAGGTTGTGGTGTTTAAACCAGGAGAAATAAGGGAGAAAGCAGTTTTTGCCTTTTAACCAGAATGCTTTATTCCATTTCCCAGTCAAATGAGCATATAGTGAAGAAGCAGAGTAAGCTGGTGTTTATTATCAGTCTGAAGTAGAAATCGGAAACTTGCAGAAGTGATTGCTGAATCTTCACTTATTCACTTTTAGGAAAGGAAGAGTAATTTTCTTTTCTACTCTTAGTGAGTTCTTAGCAGGACTTTCCGTTACAAAGGACAGATTAACAAGAGAAAAACAAACAGAAGTTTAATAACATGTACATCTCCTGCATACACGGGAGTTAACCCAAAGAAATGAGTAAGTCTTTAGAGCAGCTCAAAAAATTGTCTTAGACTACAGGCTCAAATGCTTCACAGAAACAGAAAGAAGGGTGATGTTCGTTCTGCAGATTTAAGCCAATGCCTTCTCTTTTTTTTTAAGTTTCCAGAAATCCAGTCATCCTTCTCTTCCTGGTGCCGAGAGAGACCGTTACATGTGTAGATTTCTTTTTTTCTTTTTTTTTTTTTTTTTTTTTTTTTTGAGACGGAGTCTCACCAGGCTGGAGAGCAGTGGCGTGGAAATCTCGGCTCACTGCAAGCTCCGTCTCCCGAGTTCACACCATTCTCCTGCCTCAGCCTCCCCAGTAGCTGGGACTACAGGTGCCCGCCACCACACCTGGCTAATTTTTTGTATTTTCACTAGAGACAGGGTTTCACTGTGTTAGCCAGGATGGTCTTGATCTCCTGACCTTGTGATCCGCCCGTCTTGGCCTCCCAAAGTGCTGGGGTTACAGGCATGAGCCACCACACCTGGCCTGCCTTTCCCTTTTAAACTGTTCTTCACTTTGTAGCCACAGTCTTTGTAAAATCACAAGTCAGATCAGTAGCTTCTTACTGTCCTTAGGATAAAGTTAAAAAACTCATTATGCCTTAAAAAGATCACCATAATCTGGTCCTCCATCCTCTTTAGAATTAGCTCTTACCACAGCCAGATTTTCTTTATAGATGTAATTTATCTTACAAAAGGGTAACTCTTCAGAGTTTACCCTGTGTCCTTTTTTTTTTTTTTTTTTTTTTTTGAGATGGAGTTTTGCTCTTGTTGTCCAGACTGGAGTGCAATAGCACCATCTCAGCTCACTGCAACCTCCTCCTCCCGGGTTCAAGCAATTCTCCTGCCTCAGCCTCCTGAATAGCTGGGATTACAGGCACCCGCCACCACGCCCAGCTAATTTTTGTATTTTTTTTAGTAGAGACGGGTTTTTGCCATGTTGGCCAGGCTGGTATTGAACTCCTGACCTCAGGTGATCCACCTGCCTCAGCCTTCCAAAGTGCTGGGATTACAGGTATAAGCCACCACTCCTGGCCTACCCTGTGTCTTTACCCTATGTGTATCTCAAAATAACCAGCTCGAAATTATCCTTATGCCAAAGAGGCAGATTTGTGGTGGCTTATTCTGGTCTCCTACGGTCATATTTGGGAAGCATGTCCTGAACCCTGTCACACTCTGATTTTGTGTTTGTTATGCCAGTGATGAACCTTTATATTTTAACTAAATTTTTGTTAAGCAGTAATTTTAAAAGCTTAGAAGTCTTTAAGAAAGTATACACAGATGGGCCCCCTTTCTATTTGTTTTTATTTCCCAGAAATCTTTAGGCCACCTTATGTTTGGGTCAGTTATAGTGGAGGATTATTTCTCAGCAGCACGTAATAGAGGCATGCCTGGGAGGGAGTTGACAGTGGAGGTGATAATAAACAAGAATCTGTGTCCTAACATTACTCGGCTCATCAGAGAGGCAGGGATAGCAGATATGGGGAAATCTGTAATTAGATGCAGGCATTAAATATTTAAATATATTTTTTCTTTTAATTGTGGTAAAATACATATAACATAAAATTTATCATCTTAACCATTTTTAAGTGTACTGTTTTATAGTGTCGAATATATTACATTATTTTACAACTAATTTCCAGCACCTTTTCATCTTACAAAATGAAAACTCTTTAGCTATTAAACAACTACTCCCTGTTTCTCCCTCTTCCCAGTCCATGAGAAGCACCATTTTACTATCTTTTCTATGAGTTTGACTCTACAATCCTCATGTAAGTGGAATTATGCAACATGTTGACAAACCAAATTCTGGGCAGTATTTAAAGAGGTTTATTCTGAGCCAAATATGAGCAACCATGGCCTAGGACACAGTCACAAGAGGTTCTGAGAATATGTGCCTTAGGTAGTCAGGTCACGGCTTGGTTTTGTACGTTTCAGGGAGACAGAAGTTACAGACAAAGACATACATCAGTATTCGTAAGACACATGTTGGTTAAACCTGTGGAAGGATAGGACATCTTGAAATGGGGCCACACACATGTCACAGGTGGATTCAAAGATTTTCTGATTGGCAGTTGGTTGAAAGAGTTAAGCTTTGCCTAAAGGGTTGAAGTCAGGAGAAACAAGTGCTTGAGTTAAGGTAAGGGGGTTGTGGAAGCCAATGTTCTTGTTCCCCGCCGCAACCTCCCTGCGCCCTGCCAGACGGAGGTCTTGCCCTGTCCCACAGGCTGGAGTGCAGTGCCGCCATCTCAGCTCACTGCAACCTCCGCCTCCTGGGTTTAAGCAGTTCTCCTGCTTTCACTGTGTTGGCCAGGCTGGTCTTGAACTCCTGACCTTGTGATCTGCCCTCCCAAAGTGCTAGAATTACAGGCAGGAGCCACTGCGTCCGGCCCCAAGGTTCTTGTTATGCAGATGAAACCACTTAAGTAGCAGGCTTCACGGTGAATAAATGGTAAATGTCTCCTTTTAGACCTTAAAAGGTATTGGACTCTTGGTTAAATGTCTCCTGGATCAAGAAAAGACCTAGGAAAGGAAGGACATTCTCTACAAAATGCAAATTTCCCCCACGAGAGATGATTTTGCAGGGTTTTGCCATTTGCAGGTTTTGCCGTTTCAAAACATATCAACAAAATATATTTGGGGGTAAAATACTTTGATTTCCTTTAGGCCCGCCATCCGTTGTATGATGCTATGTCAGAATCAGGTTGGAATTTGGTATTTTATTGCTACAAAGAGTCTTAGTTTTATCAGTCTTACCTCTATTTTAATGTTAATGTTGGTCAGTTGTGCCTAAATCCCAAAGGGATGGGGGCAATATAAGGACCATGTCCAATCTTCCTTCCTGTCATAGCCTGAACTAGTTTTCTTTTGAGACGGAGTCTCGCTCTGTCGCCCAGGCTGGAGTGCAGTGGCACGATCTCGGCTCACTGCAAGCTCCGCCTCCCAGGTTCATGCCCCGAAGTAGCTGGGACTACAGACGCCCGCCACCATGCCCGGCTAGTTTTTTGTATTTTTTAGTAGAGACGGGGTTTCATCCTGTTAGCCAGGATGGTCTCGATCTCCTGACCTCGTGATCCGCCCACCTCGGCCTCCCAAAGTGCTGGGATTACAGGCTTGAGCCACCGCGCCCAGCCGGAACTAGTTTTCTAGACTCCTTTGGGATCCCCTTGGCCAAAAGAAGGCCCATTCTGTAGGTTGGGTGGCTTAGAATTTTATTTTTGGTTTACAAGTGTTTATCTTTTTCTGACTGGCTTATTTCACTTAGCATAATGTCCTTAAGGTTCATCCATGTTGTACCATGTGTCAGAATTTTCTTTCTTTTTAAGGCTGAATAATATTTTATTGTATGTATATACCACATTTTGTTTACCCATTGATGAACTTTTGGGTTCCTTCCGTCTTTCGGCTCTTGTGAATAATTCTTCTGTGAACATGGGTGTACACATATCTCTTTGAGACCCTGCTTTTCAAGTCTTCCGGATTTGTGCCCAGAAGTGGACTTGCTGGATCATATGGTAATTCTATTTTTAATTTTGTGAGGAACTGCCATACTGTTTTTTCATAGCAGCTTGTTAACAGAAAGACTAGTAAAATACTTTAAAGAGGTTTATTTTGAGCCAGTATGAGTGACCCTGGCCCAGCAAAACAGTCTCAAGAGGTCCTGAGAAAGTGCACCCGAAGCAGTTGAATTACAGTTTGGTTTTGTGCATTTCAGGGAGGCAAGAGTTACAGGCAAAGACATAAATCAACATGTGGAAGGTATTCGTTGGCTCAGCCTGAAAATGTGGAATATTTTGAAGCCAGGAGAAGTAGAGGAGTGGAGTATACAAGTCAGGTAGATTCAGAGATTCTTTAATCTAGTTAGTTAAAGCAACAAAATTTGATCTAGGACTTGGGAGTCAGCAGAAAGGAATATTTTAAGTTAAAACATTCGGATGCTATGTCAGAGTCAGCCAAAATATGGCCCATTTAGTGAGATTGATGGCCTGTAGGCATGGCTTAAGGCTTGCCTTGCATGACCTTAGGTATTGTTTAGAATTTGTTATCTTATTTCCATCAAGAGTCTTTTGTCAGTCTTATGATCTCTATTTTAACTTTTACTCAGGTCAGTTGGACCTAAATTCCAGACGGGGAGAAGTATAATGAGGTGTGTCCAACCTCCCTTTCTGTCATAGCTAGGAATTTTTAAAAGTTTTTCTGGGGTTTCCTTGGCCAAGAGAGGCTCCATTCAGTCGACAGGGGGCTTAGGATTTTATTTTTGCTTACAAGCTGCACCATTTTACATTTTCACTAACATTACACAATGATTTTAGTTTTTCCACATCCTTGCCAATATTGTCATTTTTCTGGGATTTTTTTTGGAGTAACCATCCTCTTGGATGTTAGGTGATATCTCATTGTGGTTTTGATTTGCATTTCCCTTAGGATTAATAATGTAGATTAGTGATGTTGTTGCATATCTTCTTTGGAGAAATGTCTGTTCAAGTCCT